TGAAATTTACATTTAAGATTTTTGTTTCTTTAAAGTTTCTTTTAACACTTCCTATAAGGTTAAAAATCACTAGCAAATCATAATTACCATCTGATAAAATTATAGTTTGCTGAACATTTTTTACGCACTTTTGCTTGAAATTTAATCGTGAAAATAGCATTTTCATAAACTTTTCATATTGTACTCTTACTAAAAATGCTTCTTGTGTGTATCAAACAAAGCTACATGCATCTATTCCAAAATAAAATTGATATAAAAATAATTTTTAATGAGCTTATTTGGATAATAAACAAGAATCATAAAAAAATCAAATGCAAAAGATTTCTATTAAACAAAACTTCAAATTAAACAACAACCAATGAGTGTTTTTTTAACTAATTAAGTTTCATCAATTTAAAACCCTAATTAAAATTTTATTAGTTTATGTTATTTTTCCTCTCAGTCCCTTTATGTTGAAAACTTTAATTTGCTATTCATTCTTTCAAACAAAACCTGTAACTTTAAAATGACTTTATTGAAAATTGTTCTACTTTTTTACACGTAATAAGTGATGTTCACAAGATGAAAGTTAAACTACAAAAGAGTAATTCCCAAAGGTTTCAATTTTAAGATTTCATTACCCATGTAAATCCCTATACAATATTTAAATAAATTTGTTCAGGTTTACACATAATTTCACATAATAGAAATTATCTAAAACGAAGACAATTAGAATGAAAAATAATTAAACATAATAAAGATATAAAATAAAGTAGACATATTATGTGCTTATATATGGGGTATTGTTTGACATAATATATAGAAATTGATATGTATTTACACGAAGTGTATGGTATCTCGCCATTTAAAAAAAAGTGATTTAAAAATGTTCTAAATAGCTTCATTTATGCTTATTGTGATGCACATAAAAAATGTAAAAATATATCCAAGAGCCTATTCGGAATATAGATGTTGTTCTTGTTTCCGATTGTTTTTTCAATAAAGGTACATCGTAAAGTTAGAAAATAACTGATTATTTACCTAAAAAGTCTCTCGAAAAGTTTAGCCCATATCATTTTACTGTGTTGACTTTGAATGGGCTTATGCAGTGCTCTAACGCTTCTCATATTAGTTAGCTAAACTAGCAGCTTATTATGTTATTGTATATAGTCAATTATTACCGAAAATTCTTCACTTATGAGGAAATAATAAAAGAGTTTGATACTAAAATCTTTCAAATATTCGGAGTGATTTTTCTAATTTTGTCATTGCAATTCTATATTATACATATAGTGTAATATATAAAACTGTACCAAAAAATAGTTAAGTAAAAACTACCATTTTCTCAATCCAAGTCACACGTATTTTAATTATTCTCAAATCTGATTTACATTTTATTTCATATTTATAATTAAATAAGAGTTCTGTTTTTGATAATTTACATATTGTCCCAATGAAATGTGAACTTTGTTTCAAGATATTTATAATAATTTTGAACTAAATTAATAAAGGATTTAATACATTTATTTAGCTAGGTCAGAACAGTGTAAAAGTTATATCCCCTTTGTGATATCCATTGCAATACAGTATTTTACCAAATTGTGGTATAATTTTAGAGAACTGTTGTGAAAATTGATATTTTGTTTTCATTTAAAATTAAATTATTTTTAATTCATTATTTTAGTTTTATAATTATAATTATTTTAATAATTCATTATTAAAATAATGAATTATTTTAATGAAGTAAGCTTTTCCTAATTTTCATATTTCCACGAAAATGCATTCAAGGATCTTTATCTTACTCGAAATATTGATTTTTAAGCACTTATACGTGTGCAACATAAGCCTTATTAATTAAACGTGTACTGATATAAATATTAAATATAAACCTATTAATTGAAATATATATTTCAACACGATTGTTTTTTTAATTGAATAGTTAAAATTTGCAAAAATTATTTACGTTAAGAAAAATGAGTTTTCAAATTCAATCAATAAAGGTTAATCTATGATCTAAATCAATATATTTTTTTAAATTTGTATATAAACGTATTAATGAAGTCAATAAAATTAATTCAATTCATCAATTTATTTTAATTTCATTTCAAATGGCTATTGAGGGTGGTAGAGTAGTGATATTGGTGCTAGTAAAAATTGTATAACAAAGAGCGAAAATAAATTGGCTTCCTGGTACAAGCTTCTTTAATAACGTAATAGAAAATATTTTACTCGTTACTGTTTTAATAACTGAAAAAACAATTCTTCTTCTAACCTTCGAAATAGAAAATTTAAAAAACCAAAGTAAAGCGGCAAGAACGTTATCTACACTGTATTACAACACTAACCAATATCTGTTGTAATATTGGTAGATAACGTTGGTTAACAACAAAGCAGAAATTTGATTGAAAAATATTACACTTACGTTAATTAGCAACATTTCAATATTTATCACACTGTCCCATTATCATTAAAATGCACAGCTTTGTTACGTTTTTTTCCATATACAGACATACATGCATGTGTATATACATTTGTGTTTGAATTCTTTAAATAAATTAATAAACTAAATTCTTAAAAAAAATCGCAAAATGCTGTTTTAACCTATGGTTCTCACATATTTGCCTAAAATGCTAATTTTAAGGAATATTCTCATAAAATTTGTATTTAAAGCCATTTGTAGTATGTTAATTGGATTCTGGATTGCATAGTTTATTGCATATTATGATTTTCAAATCTAAGTAGATAAAATAAGCAGATTCTAATAAACGTTATGAATATACAAATGAATTGCTTATATACATACACAACGCCTACGAACATACATACCTTATATTACGATCATCTGTATATATAAATATTGCTATGAGAAAACATTCATACATATTCCTATGAATACAGAATTCATGTTTGTACAAACTTACAGAAAAAAAAATAAACAACAGTACAAATATAAATAAGAAAATGAAAATCATTCTTGTAAATTTTTTGCATGTCATGTCTATGTGTTGCATGGAATTTTGCTGTTTCATTGTAACACTGAAGAAGAAACTTGTATGTTCATCATCGACAAAGAAAAAATAACTAAAAACCCAAAGGGGAAAAAATTAAAGTGTAATGTTGTGAATTTAAAATCTAAATGAAAAAAAAGTATGTATACAAATAAAACTAAAGCGAAAAATGATCATACAAGGTCTTGAAAACTTGAAAACAAAGATTTCTTTTGATTTTCAAAACAAAACTTATGTTATAGTTTAAGATTTGGAGAATTAGGTAAAAATTTAAGCTACTTGAATATAGATTATTAACAAAATGTTATAGATAGTTCTGAACTCTGAAAGCCAAATCTTCCGTAATTAAAAATTAAAAGGCAGTAAAAATTAAATAAATAAAAGGTAACTTAAAAATTATATTATCAAAAATTAACTTTTAAAAAACCAGAAATTTTATAAAATTTACTATAAAGTTCTACAACGGTTTAATTTTCAGGCCGCTAAGTTATATTTATAATTTAAAGATTCACAACTACTTAAATTATTATGAAAAGCTTATCATACAAGAATGATCGCATTCATTTAGAATATTCTTGTATAATTGTAATCAATTACTAATATTCTAATTAATTAATAATATTACTATTCTAATTATTAATTAGAATTGGCTGATTACACCATTTCCAAAACTGAATTCACTATTCGTATCCGTTGATATATAATGCATATTTAATGTGTGCAACAACAATTATCATTTATAAAATAATCCCCTTATTGTTCTAAATTATTTGATTTCTTGTTTCTAATTTAGTTATTGGTTGATTTAAAACAAATCAACCAATATTGTGTAGGAGAATTAAACGATTTATTTATTTTTTACGATATTTCTGTACATTCACAAATTTTAAATTTTTCGTCAAAAGCGATATACTTTTGAAGCAGTGTTGATTTTAAAAAGATTTTACTGTATCAATATTTTTGTGATAAAAAAAAAATGAAATAAGGCGTGGCCTCAAATCCAATATGGAGACAAACAATTTTGAATGCGATTGTATTAAATCACGTTAACAAATGGCAGTTAACTAACACACTCGCAAATACATTTCCTACGTGCAAACGCGTGAGATGTAAAACTCGTAAATTCTAAAATTTTGTAAGTGTGTGCTATTTCAATTCCTCAATTATTTCATTTTACTTTATAGAGTAGTCTCTTGCACAAATAAAAAATTGTAAATAAAGATTCGTTTCTATATTAAAAAAAAGTTTACACCTTCACACAGCTGACGAAAGCATTATTTTGAGTTTGGTGTAGTTAAGAGGTACTGACAGGAAATTGACAATACTGACAACATACAATCAAGAAATATAATTTTTATGTAGTGCGTGGAACATTAACCATTACGGTACACTTTTTCGATACCATGTATAATATTTCTTGCAGACATAAAATCGCGCCGAGAGTCGTTTATTAGGCACGTTGCATTTTAATAATTATTATTTTTTTTTATTTCTAAAATTATTAACAAAAGGAATAAGAAAAAAAACTTAATTTTGGTTACGTCATTGTATGATTAATAAAAAATTTTATAATAAAAGAAGAAAGCAAAAGTAAAAAAAAAAGAATAAATAAAAGTTTTCCTAATAATTATAATAATAAAAATTTCAACAATATTTTATGTATAATTAAAAACAAGTGAGAAAAAGTAAAAAATCAATTAACTAATTAATTGGTTATAGCGTCTTTTGTTTCTTTTTATGCCATATTTTTATAATTTTTTGCATTTCAGTGAAATAAAATAAAATTTTCATATTAAGTGTTAAATGTTTAAATATTATTATAATATTATTAGTACTATAACAAATTGATTTCTATTTAATTCTACACTAATATAAAATAAATTATGAGTTCATTTCTAATGGGTTATTCGCATACACCACATGTACAAAACCATCACCACCATCATCATATATCATCAAATAATTTGGATCCAAAATATACTCAAGCAACCGATGAATGCCAAAATTATAGTGGGTATTTTCTACCATCTTCGGGTTCCTCAATACAATCTTCATCTATATCAGATTATTTCTCAATGAATTCAAATAATGGAGGAAATATGCCCCAAAATTATCACAATTATTCGCCACATCATAATCAAGCAATGAATAGTTTTTATCATCATAATTATTCAACACAAATACATTCTGGCCAAAGTAATAATTATACAACTAGTAATTGTAGTAGTCCATATTTTGGTAATTATTATAATACTACCGCTGCTGCAGTCACAACACAAAGTAATCATCAAATTATGGATATGCCATTGCAATGTCCAATCACAGAACCAACAAATACTGTTTTAGGATTACAGGAATTAGGTAAAATTTTTTTTTTCCAATTTCATTATTCATAAGAACAACCAAAGTTCATTATTTGCCAACTAAGAGCAGTCGAATTATCAAATTTGATGTATTAAGTTTTACTAAAGAATTTTTACTGCACTGCCGTTCGAACTTAAAGTGAATGCTGCCAATTATTAAATAGAATAATAGTACTGTTAGAATGAAGTTCTTAGTACATGTCTTTTGGATATTTACCGACCGCATTGCATAAAATAAGGAAGGTTATGTGATGGCAACAAATTTTGCATATCAAGTTTTCGGTGGGAACACCCTTCTCCATTATAGTTAGTAAACGTAAATAAACTATTAGAACAGGTGTCGGTTTGTCTGTTTGTCTGTCTGTCTGTCTGTATGTACGCGTGTATATGAAGTTCGACTGAACCGATTTTCATGAAATTTTATGAATTTTCATGAAATTTTTTGTGAGTTTTTTTTAGCTATGTCACGAATTGATCAACTTTTGGATATATCAGGCCCCGGGAACTGGACTTTTTAACGGACCTGTTTTATATTTTTGACCATTTTGAAGAATTTACTGGAAATTTCATATATAAGCTTTATCGACCGTACGCGAAACCTCCTAACTTTTGGAAGAAATCAGGTGTCAGCAACTGGAGGTTTACTACAGGTCAAATATAGATTTTTGCGTATATAAAGAGTATAAACAATCAACCGATTTCGTTGAAATTTAATATTTAAACTCGGGGTGTTAAAACAATGAGTCTATAATTTTTTTGGGTAAACTAATCTGAGGACCGATTTTACATATTTTACCATACCTACGGAACGAATTGCTGAAATTTCTTGAAATTTAATATTTGAGTTCTGATTGTTATCTGAAGTTACTGACGAACTTTTCGTATAATTCGAGCGACACAAAATTAAACTACTAAGAGCCAAATTCACATTTTCCTAGGTATGTTAACTAAAAGCTAATTAGTGTCCTTAAAATTGTAAAGAAGTGTTTAAAACGCATTTTCATAATCTTCTGGAATACTTTTACTAATCTAAAAAATATACATTGCAGTCGGTTATCAGATTTTTCTTCTATTGCAACCGTTTTCTTGTTTACTATTAGAAGAAATAGGCTATGAAATAAAGTTACTTTGCACAAGCTAATTAAAAAAAATTTTAAATCCTACATAAAAATGAAATTTTTGTATTAAAACAATACACTTTATGCAATATTATAATTATAATTATTGTATCGTATATAATATTATAAGACTGTCAATGATATCAAAATTCATCGAATATTTATATAAGCATAATAGTTATAACTGAATTAACTCATAACTCAATTATTATTACAATAATTGAGTATAAACACTGAAATAATTAATATTATTTTGAGTGTTTATAATTACTAGATGAAGGGTATTCATATAATCACTTTCGAAGGATCATAATCCAGTTAAAACATAAAAGTTCAGCCATTAAATTTTTGAAGGAACATGTTGGGTACTTAATATACAACCGGGTAATATTTCACAAGATTACTTGAGATAAACTTAGGCACCAAAATCGCCATTTTCGCATAATTCTATTTTAAAAAAAAAAAATAAACTGAAGACTTAATGCGCACATGGTAAACATGAAAGCTTTAGAAAGTAAAATTTTACATGAAAGCCTTAGAAAGTAAAATATTAACAATGTTACTGTACTAAAACCAATGTCCTTCTGTGGAATAATACTTTACTATTGAAAGGAATTGTAAATTTGGTCGACTTAAGAAATTAAATTTTTAATAGGTGGGCTGTTGCTTGATTGCTACAATTTTTTATGCAAGTTAGTGGGTTTACTAAAATTAATATTGCACATTTGCCTATAAAGTTTATTTAATAATAATAAGTGCTTTACCGTAAAAATACACAAACTTTTTGGTCTGAACTAGGTGTCAAACTAGATTGTTAGGAACTGGGTCCCGCTCAAATTTCTTGACTTATAACTTCTTGTTTAAAAATGGTAGAACAATCAAATAAAAATTTCTTAAAAGAGCTAATAGTAAAGACTAAAATTTAAAAGAGCTAACAATTTTCGCAAAAACAAACATTTTAATTTTGATAGAGCTCCAATTTATCCATTTTTTTTAATTTCCTTTATTTCGATATTTTTATAGCAAATTTCTATAGCAAATGACATTAACCACAAAGTAATAAAATATCTTTTATGATCTAAAAGATTGAGCAAAAGAATTGTTTGAGTAAAAAAATTGTCGCTATTTTTATTTTTTATTTACTTTTAAATTAGAATGGTCATCTTAAAAATTATTAGTTATTTTAGGAAATAAAAGCTGCCAGAAATTTTAACAATTTTTATATTCTGTATTATCTGTCAATTAAACCTCCCAATGTCAACGAATAATACAATCTTATACTTCATTTTCAAGAATTGAAATCGATTTTCTATGAAAATATGATTACTTTTATGCCTTTCAACGCTCCTCCAGGTGGTAAGAATTTTGGAAAGAAAAAAATTGGTCGATGTTATATCAAATCAAATATTAAATTAGCCCATCAAATACTAACAATTAATTGTCAAATAGACAATTTTTCTTTCTTTATTCCATTAAATAAAGTTGGGTCAAACTAATGGTTTGTATTGTAGCACTTTTCCCTTTAACAAGTGAAAATTCTGCTTTTCTCTACAGTCTATGTATACCTATCACACTATTAAAATTATTTTCCTTCATATACAAAACTATTTCTAGGATTGCATATATTTAGGATGATGCATACATGCAGTCTTTGAATTAAAGCAAAAATTAATATGAAGTGGGGTTAACATAATGCTCGATTTTAAGAGTTAATTGTGTGAGTTAAGAAAAATAATTATATTTTTTAATGTCATGGAATTTACTGTTAGCTTTTTGCGTTTATAGAAATTTGAACAAGCTTGCGGTTTCGGAAATATATGGCGGCAAATATTCAAATTTTACAAATTTCAAGAGGCGATAAGTTGAGAGGGGGTGGAGATGGAAATAAATTTTCTTCAAACGAAATGAACCATTTGTTAGTGCCTAAAAGTTACTAAAATTTCAGGCTCACACAACCCCAGGTTAGAAGAAAAACAACATAAAAAATTTGAAAAAAATGGATGTTATGTAACGGTAAAATTTAACGGCCATTTTGTTTTCTTGAAGTTGAAGTATGCCGTGATTGAAAAAGCTACCCATTGCTTTTCTGCGTTTGCAAAATTTGAAAAATGCATCTGGTTCTACTACAGTAAATAGTTAAAAAATGGCATTTTTAGGGTTTTAGGGGGGTTTAACTTCTAGAGGGGGGGAGATAGGTAAAAATTTTGTTCTACGGAAATAAATTTCTAGTAAAGATCTATTTCAGCTTTCTATCTTCAAGGGTGTAGAAGTTTTGTAAACAAAAAAAGTGTCCACGGACGGACGGACTGACAGACGGACGGACAGAGTGAAACTAATAAGCACTTTTTTTCAAAAATTTTTTGGAAAAGTGCTAAAAAGTAAAAAGGTTTATGTACAGAAAGTATCTTTTGAGCTCAAATGGCAATTCAAAGCCACAATTTTTTCCACTTTAACGAATTTAAATTTAAACAGACGTTTACTATGTCTATTAAAGGTAGGCTAATCTTTCTCTACATCTAAACTGATTTTGAATACATCGAGAAACAAGAAATTATTTTTGAAATGCTGAAAAATTTTTTGTTTTTATTTTAAAAATTACCTACCTTAAACCATCCACTATTCTCTAACATAAAAATGTATTAAAATGAAAAGAGTACAGCTGTGGCAATTGGATGACTGTTTAAATTCATCAATTACCGATACTTTCCCAAAAATGTACAAATAATGGACACAAAAATGTACAAATAACATTAAATTTTTTAATTACGGAATTATTGTAAATACATACAGTTTTAGTTGTAAGTTTAACTTGTTGTATCTACGCTCGATTTTTTTTTTTATGATTTTGATTTTTTACAAACGACTACACTGATCTAAAAACCGAAAGAGTCCCATCATAAATACCTTTTTAAACTTAACATTACATTTGAAAAAATGGGATATTTAAAAAGGCATGAACTTTAAGGAAGCACTGTATTTAACGTTCGATACAAACTCCGCCTAGCCCCAGATTCGTTAAAGAGACTGTCTCTATATTCAAAATCTATAGATTTAAGTAGCACAAAGTCCACACAGTGGGGCTATAAATTACACTTCTCAAATATCAAGAATGCTAACGTTATTTTCGTTTAATAACTTGGTAACTTTGTATTTAATGTGGTAACATTTTCATAAATTTCCCAGCTATTGATACTAAAATTCTTAAATTACTTATTTTTTCTTATTTTAAAGCACAAAAACCAAGTTCTTAATATTTCTACCGACCACATTGCATATAATAAGAAAGATTATGTGATAACATCAAAGCAAAGAATGTATATTTATAAAGAATCGCAAAAGTCTAAAAAGAACATTTTTTTTCATCTCTACTTTGTGACAACGATTAGCTATTCACCTCAACATAATGTGGTGTGTTTGAGCTTAAAAAGAAAAAAAAACAAAAAAATTTGTTTTGGAATAAGGAATGTGAAAAAGCAATAACAAATTTTGTTATGTGTAATATGGTGTTGTTCGGTTTAACAAAGTGTTTGTTGAATGATGCATACATACTCGTACATATGTATACTCGTATGTATACCATATATGAATTTTATTATTACTGTTGTGAACATATACGTTCAAATGAATTCAGAATTAAGAATAAAATTAAGAATTGACAATAAATAAAATATTAATATACATATATACTTACAAACACATACGAACTGCATCATAATTCTTCAATATTAAATCAACACACACTTTTTTTGTATTCAAATTCAATATGTGTATTCAATAATAATTTACCAATTAGTAGAAAACTATTTACATATGTATTTGAAAATTTTTTAAGTTCTTTTTCTTGATCCAATATGATATTTAAAAACAAAAGTAGGTAATA